TGGCTGGGGAATTCTGGGAGTTGAAGTCCACACCTCTGAAAGCTGCCAAGGTTGAGAAACAGTGCTGTAAGACAAAAGTGCCTCCCAAATCCTCCCTTTGGTTATAAATAATTGCCCAAAAATGACAGTATGGCTTCCCACCACTTACAGGCAGCAAACACATGAAAACTCTGACATAAGCCCTAAAATCAGCTTTATGCAGTTTTTCGGGTTAAAAAAAAAGGGGTGGTGGTGGAGGAAGGAATCACCTTTTGAAAGGAGAAAAATTGTGGCCCTGCTTGTGTGTGTGACACAATTCTCCCCACTCTGCATTATCACCCTCCTCCTTGCCGCCCTCAGTTCCTTCAAGTGTGATTGTTTACATCCTCCAGCCACTGTATATGCTCATATGGCCATTCCTGCATCCCTGCATAGACACCTCTTTTTATATACATTTCTGTATAAATCTGTTTCTGAGAAAATAAAAGGATTAGGATTTCAGGGAAAGGAATGAGAATGAAGAGATGATCTGCAGAGACACCAGCAGCAGCAACCTAGTTAACAAGCGACAGACAGTAGCCTGCCTATTGCAAAAACCCCAGGGAGGGTTTGCTGAGAAAACAGGGAATTTTTAGAAATAGGGAATCAACTGTTACTATGCAGAATTCTTCCAGAGGGCTTTGTTGAAGTTCTTGCTATTTCTTTGAAGAACTTCCTATTGCACAATGCAATCTGCATATATTCTTTATAAAAATCTTGGTAAATTATAAGCATGTTAATATAAATGCGGTGGGCATGTTGTGATTACCCAAAAAACTACTGAGACAATTTGCGATGTAAAAAGAGGCAATTAAATTATTTCACAGATGAGGAACCTTTGTTTAAACTAGTATCACAATTAATGTCAGCTAAGGTTCAGCATTGGCAGAAGGAGAAGAAAACCTTAGAAACAGTAATGTGTGTGTGTGTGTGTGTATATATGTGTGTGTGTGTGTGTGTGTGTAAAAAAAAGTGAATTTGCAAATGTCTAACATCTATCTCCCCAAATTCAGCAATTACCAATGAAGACTTAAGCTGTCTTTCCAACTGATGTCCTCCAGATGTGATGAGGTTCAGCTTCCACAATTTGGTAATCCTGGGAGGAATAATCCTAATGCATCTGGAAAACATCATATTGGAAAAGACTGGGCTAAACCATTAATGCCTCAAAGCGCTCTTGGATGATCTGAGTTTTAGCATGTTAAGGGTTTCAACAGTGGGGTGGCAGGAGAATCTTGGAGCAGCACAAAGAAACAATTTAAAACAGTGCTAACAGTGAGTATCTAAATACTGCTAGTTTTTTGGAGTCAGTTGAATTCATACTGAATTTATGCTTATGAATTATTTAATAACCATAAATAAAAGCCAAATAAATGATGTTATAACTCAGTTAGATGTGTGATTCCCATCACTATGTGATATTGAATTAAATAACACTTAAGTCTAATTTGTGCCCAAGGATGCTTGTGAAACCAAACAAGCCCTCTACATTTCTTGGAACCCAAAACTGCCTATTATTGAGATCCTAGTACAAAAAATAAAAGTCAACTCCTGGTGTCTTCACTGACATGTCCATGTAATGATCTTGGTAACAGTACAGAAGTGATCTGCTGTTGACTTCTAGAATGTTTTTTCAGTTTCCAAATCTAGCCTCTTGCTCTGGGATTTTCATTGAAGTATTAATTAAGTCTGATCTTGCTTAGCTTTTTGAGCCAAGGCCAGCTATTTACTGTCATCTATTTGGCCTCTTGTACAAAAGAATAAGAGGGTTTAGGACAAGGGGAAAAATGATAATATCTCCAACGGTTTCAAATGTTGATATAATGTGGTTTCCAAATAAAATCATATAATGCCTGTAAAATGAACTACTATACATGAAACTTGTACAGTAGTATTTCAGTATTTTTATTTAATTAATTTTATTTAATGTGCATGTATATCTAAGTACAGTTAGTTCACAGTTCAAGACCTATTTTTAGAATGCCTTTCTAAGTTAAAAAAAAAAAAGATAGAATGTTCATGCATCTTCTATCAATTAATCCTAACACTTTTCAGTGGAGTCAGCTTAAACTTTTATTGGAAAGTCTTTAAAAACCAAATTATCTGTTTATATTATGTGTGCATGACCTGGCCCACAGTACCAGTGAAGTACGAGAAACTTGTTAATTACAAAATTAAATATAAACCAGTGAAATAACAAATAGCAAAGCAATGCAAGTTTGGACATTTTATTTCACTGATACAATGCTGTGGAGAATAGTAGAAGCACGCTTAATGCAGGGCAATGCCAACAATTCTTTTTAATGGTCCTAAGCTATAAAAGTATCAGTTACATCAAGCTATGGGAGCTTGCAGCTCACCAGCAGAACTAGGATTCTTAATGATAAAAACCTAGTTTTTCTCACCCAGATTAGTGTTTCTCCTGGGACTAATAAACTATGTTATATACTCCATCTGAGATGTGTAGGGCATACAAAAATAATAAACTGAGATTGATAGGCATCATCACAACATGACGGGCAAGAAGACAGAACACATTAGAGTATAATGGGATAAGCAGGTAAGACTAGATAAAACCCTAGATGTAGATGGTATGAAAACAATTAATCCCAATATCCTCAGGTTTTCCTTATTAGTTAATATCAAGTGAAGGATTGCTAAACTTTTTCTACCACTCTCTGAAAAAGGAAGCTGTCAGCAAAACAAGTCAGGAATTTCCAGGACCAGGCTTAGCAGTGCTGGCTTTGAGCAGATGTCAGGGGAAGTAAAATCTTCCACCATTATTTGTCCAAGCCTCTTTGGTGATCTGCAAGTCACACTTGAAAAGCATCATCGGCATCTTCTCCTTGGCTGATTAAGTGATAATAGATACCAGCAAGAGGGTGGCTTTTATCCCTTCCTCCAATTATTTTAACCCAGAGGCCTCTTCAGTATACTGTAACCGCATTACTTCACTTGGATTTTTGAGCAGGCTTGCATACCTATAACATATGGTATAACTCCTCCTGCTTTTCTATAATGTCTGTTTCTTTTCAGCTCATACCAAACACTCTAGCCCAGTGTTGTCCAAACTTGGCCACTTTAAGATGAGTGGACTTCAACTCATCTTAAAGTCCACTCATCTTAAAGTGGCCAAGTTTGGACAACACTGCTCTAACCCTTTGCTGCCATCCAGTGGTCACCCAGATTGTTGCACCTAACCTGGTAGCTCTTTATATTCCAGTTATGGAAATCAATCACAGGAGATCTACATTATACCTGTATTGCATCTGCCTTCCTGTACTCAGAGTTCAAACTCTTGGGTTTAGTTCTCACACCTCAAGCATCATTGTAGAGAAAAAAGACCATGAAATCATTTTTTCTATTTTCTTTTAAATTTTATTTAATTGCATAGGTAAAAAGAAAAAAAAAAAAGGAAAAGGAAAAAAACCACAGAAGTACACATCTTTCAAGTAGTAAGCAAAATTAGCTTGACATAAATATTCAAGCCCTCTTATTCAATTAAATTAAAATTTAAATGGGCATACTTAATAATACGAAAGAAGTGGAAAATTGAACTTATGTAATTCAAATCTATAAATAGTCTTGTATTTTTTTTTTTATCCACTTCAGTGGAAGTCAAGAGACAGTACAACTAAGCTGACCTGCATTAGAAACAAAGCAACAGAACTGCTTATTTGGAGGTAAGTACCATTAAACTCCATTGGACCAACTTCTGAGCAAGATACTATCAAGCACTGGGAAGTGCAGCACCCTTGGGCGAATCAGACTGTGGATAACTCAGCAAGCTTCCATTCAGATGAAGCTCTGGCAAGGTGACTAATTGCAATTTGTCAATCAGGTTAGCAGGCAATGTGTTTAAGTCTGCTCAGTTCCATTCATTTCCGGGTGGCTGACTGCACACTTTTAAAATACATTTATTCAACAGAACAAGTCTTTTTCCTCAGAATAAACTTAAGAGTAGGACTATCAGATAATTGATATAGCTATTGGGGGGGCATCATAATTTTGACTTATTACTACCTTGAAAAATCCACAATGTTCAGTAAAACTTCAGAATTTTAGAGGATATATAGTTTGAAAATATAACAGAGGTTCCACTCTGTCCCACAGACTCTAAGCTAGAGAGGACTGATTCATTAGCCCAAGCTAGTGATGATGACTGAAAGATTGCTACCTGAGGGACTATCTCACCCTCATTATATTGACCTGTCCCACCCGGTCAAGCAGAGAGGGTATGCTGCGGACCCCATTGACAAAAGAATGTCGTCCGGCAGGGCCCAGGAGGAGAGCCTTCTCTGCCGTGGCCCCTGCCCTATGGAATACCCTCCCCCCAGAGGTGAGGCAGGCCCCTACTCTCTTGACCTTCCGGAAAGCAGTTAAGACCTGGCTTTGCCAACCTGCATGGGGCGAGGAAAGGGGCAACCAACCCTGGGGGTGGCTAGCACCTTGAAGATGCTTCTGTATGTTAATATCTTTTCTACCAGCAGCACCTTGGAAGATATTATTATTTATGTATGCATTTGGTTTTTACTGTACTTTTATATTATTTTTATAGAATTTTAATTAATATTTATTTGTTGTTTTTATTGTAAACCACCCAGAGTCACTTCCTCATGAGATGGGCAGTGACCAAATTTGAAATATGAAAAAATAAGAAAAAAATTGCATTCAGTGATTTTAAAAATGATCTATGCTGTATAAAGTGTTATTATTTTTGCATACTGAACCATTTACATTTTACATAAGCAGCAGCTCCTACGCATCTGGGTAACACTTAGCCTGAAGCAGACATGTCTGTTGTCAGAATCAAGCACTTGCCTGGATTCATACAAAACCCTGAGCTACAAAGTAGCCAACCACAGTTTAGCCAATCAGATCATGCAAATCCAGAAAGTCCGTCTAATTGAGTAAATAACAATTCAGTTAATCATGGGTGAACATATTACACAAATATACTTCATGTGTGCTACCATGTGGGGTGCAGAGTTAACTTTACAGCTATTAATAGCTTGGGTGTATATACCACTGGCATGTTAAGCAGCCTATATGTGGCCCTTGGCTGCAAAAAGTGTGATTTGCAAGGAGCAAGGAATCTAAGAACAAACAGCTGATTAGACTCATAGCTAACCAGAAGGACAGATTGCTGATCTCCTCCTCCTCCTCCTCCTCTTCTAGACCTCATTGCTTTCCTTTCCCTCCATGACCTTGCCTGATATAACCAAAAGGAAGGGGAATTAGAATTGCCTTTCCTTCCTAGCAATCCTGATCAAAATAATTAGTTTTCCTTCATTGGGAAACCGGAAATCTGCAAGCAAGATCATGGGGTGGGGGGGAAGCATTTTGTTCTTGTCTACCTCACACTGACTCTGTTTAAGACTATAGAGAAAGAAGGAAAGAGGAATGCCACTGGTATTGCAGGAATGAGCACATATCTGTGGTTTCCATATTAGCAACTGAAGGGGTCCTTTGGGCAGAAATAGTTGAGCAACTCAGAGATTGGCTAATTCCCATGTCAAGCAGTATTTATATTAAATAAAACAGATTCTGAGGTGAGAATTCCCATTTTTTCTGGCTTTTTAATTGTATACTGCTTTGTCTATTTATGTACGTGAAATTGCAGTATGCTTATTCCCAGGCAAGTCACAATTGTGTGACTTAGATTCATGGGAGTGAGAGATGGCAAACTGTTGTTTCTTTCACTATGCAAATACTTCCTTCCCACCCTGGCCAAGGCAGTACCTATCTATATATCCTGCTTTACACAGGAACAGCTCATGGTAAGCAACTGGTAAACCTTATGCATCTTCACAGCTACAGGCTAATGCCTAGAAGGACATTAGAATTCATTGTCTTTTCTTGCATCCTAAAGCATAGGAAGTAAATTCTAATTATTTATCAACAATAATCAACTTCAGAAATCAAGAGACATCTGGAAGAGCATTTATAACTTTGTTGTCATGATCGTTTCTCTTCCCCCGTTAAAAGCTCAAAATATTTTACCACATTTCCAAGATTCCCCCTATGAAAGAGAAACAGTAGCTATTATTCTTTGCTGCAGGGAATGCTGTGAATAAAAGGGGGAGAGGGAATTCTTCCCTGTTGCCATATAGTGTAGGGTTTAAAGAGTTTAGTATTTAAAGAGTTGGACTTGGATTGAGGAAATCTAGGTTTACATCCCACTCAATGGCTTTGGGCCACTCACTTTTTTTCAGGGCAACTTCACAGGCTGTTGTTGTGGGAAAACCATCAAATGTGCTGTCTTGAGCTCTCAGTGGAAAGGTGGGTGTACAATTGTGGGCAAGAAAATGTTATTTATAGACCCCAAAACTTGTAAAGGGATATTCATCTCCTGACTTCAGATATACCCACAGAATCTCAATGGTTTCCTGGAAAAATTCCTGACACACACATTCAACATTGCTTCAAAATAATTTCACCAGAACTGGATCTGAAAGGTCAGCCTGTCTAAAGTGACTCCCTTCAAAGATGGAAGGATTATGGTATCATTCCCAGAAAGCAAAACCTTGCAATCCGGGGAGTTTGGGTCAAAATGTCTTTGGAGAACACCAAGTTAGGGAAGGGAGGGGAATTCTCTCTTAACGCGAATCACCCAGCCACAGTTGCTACCACCAGCTTTTTGTAGGCTTTGCCGACGACAGACAGGTGAGAGATTCCCGATTTTCACCTGTTTTAATAGGCTTTCGGGAAAGGATGGAGGAGACGCAGGGTCGGTTAATGCTGGAAAGTCCCAATTCTTCTTAATCAAACCCACGCTTACCTGTTCCTGCCAGATTAGCGAGGCCTGCAGAAGGCTGGGCAACTGACCCACTGCACACCTTCGGATGGCATCCTGGAGCGCCGAGGACGGAGGATGCTCTGCTCCTCCGCCTCTTCGCGGGAAGGTAGCGCTGTGCCGCTGCTGCTCCGTTCTCCCCCGCGAGGTCAAGGTAGTTTGGAAAGGTGAGGAGCCTCTCCTCCCATCGCATTTGAACGAAGCCCCTCCGAAACAGGTCGGAGGGAGAGATGCCGGGTCGATCCGTTTCAGCGAGGGGGGGACGGATCGGGCGCTCTCCGCTTCGAGTGGCTCTTCTGCCCTAAAAAGAATGGGTTTTGCATCGCTTTGCCGGGGGACAGTTCCGGAAGCGAAACTCAAGAGCAGCGGCGAAATGTATAACCTAGTAGTCCACCACCACTCCCTACCACTTCTTTGATACCATGGGGGATGGGGGGTGGGGGGGGGTGAGGCTTTGCTCAGGGATCGCGAATTGTATATAATAGGAGGGGGATCTGTCCTGCCTTCCCCTCCTCCGTCTCGAGCAGGGAGAAGAGGAACCAGGCGGAGACAGACCTTTTGTGCTGCGAGGGAAAAGGGGAGGGGGAAGAATGATAATTGTGTTCTTGCGACTCCCCCCCCCTTTTCCCTCCCTCTCATGCAACAGAAGATACAATCCCGTTCTCGTGCCATTGGGTTGCATTGAGCAAGGGACGCCCCACTCCCTCCGTCGCAAGCGAGTGGGCGTGGCACGAGGAACGCTGCTACAGTATTGTATTCCTGCGGCACCGTTCCGATTCCGAAAGAGAGGGAAAAGGGGCGGAGCGGCTGGAGACGACCTAGTCACGTGACCCAGGGCGCTCGGGGGGTGAATATGAATGGCTTGAGGAGGAGGTAGAATGCGTCTAAGAGCTGTCAAGATGGCGGCAACGGTGGCGTTTAGCAACGGCGGCGGAAGGGGGATTCTAGCGGCTGGACTCTTTCGCGGTCACGTGGCCATCGTGACGGGCGGGGGCACGGGCATCGGCAAGGCTATCGCTGCTGACCTGGTGCACCTCGGTGGGGAAAGGTCGTCTGAAGAGAGCTCAGCCTCCGCAAGCTGGGAGTGGGGAGGAGTAATCCCGCTACTTCTGGGGGAATGGGAATGGTGGAGAAGGGTCGGAGCTGTGGCTGCTAAAGTTAGGGCTCCTTCGGGTCCTTCCTCTGGGTTGTTGATTGTAGCTTTGTGACTTAGACAAGAGTGTCAGGAGTTCAACAGGTGCAGGTTCCCCATCTTAGAAGTGTGTCTGGGAATGTTTTACCTGATGAGTTGTTGCTCACCATGAAACTACTATGGTAGAGCGGGCCCAGAGATTTTGCTGAGGGGAAGGGAACAGGCTAGGAGGAGAAGAAAGTTTGATTCCCTTCAGATTGTTTGCGTGTCAGCTCCCAACAGCCCCAACTAGTGTTACCGCTGACCCTGTGGGATATAGCCCTCATATTTCCCACCATCTTTGTCCCTTAATCAAAAATGATTTTACATAATTATCTTATGGCAGGGCACTGCAGTGAATACCCCAACCAAATTTTTTTCCTTAAGAAGGGGAGAAATAAAAAAACCCAGGCTCTTATTTTCTTATTTTTGATTGT